ATCAATAAAAAAACAATATGTAAATGATATTGATTCATATGTAAATACCACCAAATATGCAGATTGCTGGTGAGAAAACGAGTTAATGCAAAGCTACTTACAAGAATGTGCCTGATTGGCTACCAAACCCTAACACCTAATAATCGGACCAATCAGAGAGCAGCATGTTTGTTGACAAGTTTTTTTAATTAAATTCTGCCTTGTATGTAGGCTTTTACCCAACTGGAAAAAACTGACCTATGATTATGAGCTGCAAATTACGTCCTTGTTCCCATTTAATACTGAGTCAGTTTGTGGTCCACCAACATCCAGTCTATGTATAGAATTCTCTTCAGAATCAGAATCAGAATTAAGTCCCAGATGAAGACAATCACATCCCAGATGAAGACAATCACATCCCAGATGAAGACAATCACATTCCAGATGAAGAAAATCACATCCCAGATGAAGAAAATCACATCCCAGATGAAGAAAATCACATCCCAGATGAAAACGATCACATACCAGATGAAGACGATCACATCCCAGATGAAGACAATCACATCCCAGATGAAGACAATCACATCCCAGATGAAGACAATCACATCCCAGACGAAGACAATCACATTCCAGACGAAGACAATCACATCCCAGATGAAGACAATCATATCCCAGATGAAGACAATCACATCCCAGATGAAGACAATCACATCCCAGATGAAGCCACTCACATCCCAGATGAAGACAATCACATCCCAGATGAAGACAATTACATCCCAGATGAAGACAATCACATCCCTGATGAAGACACTCACAACCCAGATGAAGACAATCACATCCCAGATGAAGACACTCACATCCCTGATGAAGACACTCACAACCCAGATGAAGACAATCACATCCTAGATGAAGACAATCACATCCCAGATGAAGACAATCACATCCCAGATGAAGACACTCACATCCCAGATGAAGACAATCACATCCCAGATGAAGAAAATCACATCCCAGATGAAGAAAATCACATCCCAGATGAAGAAAATCACATCCCAGATGAAGAAAATCACATCCCAGATGAAGACGATCACATACCAGATGAAGACAATCACATCCCAGATGAAGACAATCACATCCCAGATGAAGACAATCACATCCCAGATGAAGACAATCACATCCCAGATGAAGACAATCACATCCCAGATGAAGACACTCACATCCCAGATGAAGACAATCACATCCCAGATGAAGACAATCACATCACCTGATGAAGACAATCACATCACCTGATGAAGACAATCACATCACCTGATGTCGATATCGATGTCATTACATCATGGCATTACCAGGACAGTGGGTGCTTAACGAATACTGGTTATCGTTTTCATATGATACAGTGTGGATATCGATGACCATAAGACTGTTGTGAATGCGTAGACCACAGTAACC